ACCCCCACTGCCAGGCTGGCAGTGGGGGTGGGTTAGAAGCTGGGGCTGGGTGCGGGGAAAAGCGGCCCCTCGCCCGCCCCATGGCCAGCGCCTTGCGCTGCAGCCACCTGCAGCCCGCGTGAGGCGTGTGGGAATTTTTTCCTCCTGGTAAGCATCCCTGCTTAAGTAAAATATCTTTTGACATTTTTAGGACAGTTGAAAATTAACCTGCATTCAAGGAGTTTGTTTGTTTGTTTTTCTAAATTAAAAAACCAAGAATAGAGGAGCTATGAAGTAAGCTTATAGACTCTGTAACCTTTAGAAAGAGGTTAACTTGAGTGAGAAAAAATCATGTTCTTACAATTTATAAGGAGCTTCCCCTTCCTCCCCTTAATACTTGGTATGCTGTAGTGGTTATGTGCTCTGTAGATGAGAGAAACGATTTCTCTGCTGCCATCTATTGATTAATTAAAAGAAGAGGAAGAATAAGCCAGACTTGACTTTCATCAGTGATGACCACTTTTGCATAGTGGGTAACTTGTTGGTTTTTATTATAGTTCATTTAAGTTTTGGCTGTTGTTGTGTGACTCAAGGGCAATGGAACTATACCTAAAATGTTCTGAGCAAGAGCTCACAATAACCTATCCTCAACCATCCCATCTTACTAATGAGAAAGAGGAAATGTGTTCCTATGAAGAGTGAATCTCAGGTAGCAGAAAGTCTGATCAACATATATCTGACTGCTTCCTGGCCCCTTTCAAGCTCCTCAGAGTAACAACAATGAAGGAACTTCAGTAAGAACCTGGAATAGATGCTGCCCAGTATCTCCAGAATTTTAATTATTATAGTTTAAACTAGGATTGAAGTGACAGCATCGTAAGGGAAAAGGCAGAAGTGGCATGGTAGTCTCTCTTCAAAGAAGCATTTCCCCTGCCAGAGGACTCAAGATGGACCTGCTTGAGTATGTTCCCTAATAGTATTCCCAGCCATCCCAGAAGCTGGGATGCAGAAGGGAAACCCACCCACGCACCGATTGCCACCCTGAACTAAGCCCAGCTCATGTGCAGCCCAGCTGGAATGGAGTAAGGGGAGTAAGGATACCTGCAAGGAGCAGACAGCAAGGATACCTGCAGTAGCAAGTGGCCACAAACTGCGTGGGATGCACTAGATGGTAAGGAGTAGGGAGTGAGGTGCTTGAAGGACATTCATGGACAAAGGGAGAAACAGCAGCATTACTCAGAACAATATGGGGTAAATGATGTCTTACTATTGGCAGAAACATTTGGCTGTTGGTTAGTTCTGCTATTCTTTCCCAAATGAATGCTGGGTTCCTTTTTATCTTATGGGGTTGTCTATGTTTATACATACACTTGTTCCTTGTGGGAGGGGAAACATTACCTATTAAGAATGCCCCGGGAAAGTGTTTAGTTTTCCAAGGTTTCTGAAGGAGGGCTTAAGGCAGTGGTGTGTATTAATTCTAAGAAGAATGCTTAGTTCTTTGAATTTATCCTTTGCTGCTGCCAACAAAACATGCCAGGAAAAACTGCACATACTTTACCCATCTTTTCCAGTTCTCTGGAGCAACAGTCATAAGCCTCAAGTGGTTTTGGTGAGGGAAAATGATCAGAGTCTTTGAAGCCATTTCAATCTTGTTTTGCTGACAGGAATGCAAGAGCTCAGAGAAATCCAAGCAATAAATCTTCACAAATTGTTTCTAGCACATAGACTAGCACACAGACTTTCTGTTAGCGGTGCCTGGTTTAGATTGCTGTTACCAGTTGAGATATTTTGTGTTACATCAAAATTATTTTGTTCTCAAATAGGATTTACTTACAGAGCTCAACATTCTCCCTCAAATGGGACTGATAAGCTCTTATATCTGCTCATTCCCAACAGGTGTTCTAGCAGACTAACTCTTCAGTCTTCATTGTGCTTTTGTAAAACATAGTGTTCAGAGATGTTGTATTTACAAAGCTGGGAAAGTTGTGACTGGAGGGGATCTCCTGAATCGATGAGCCTAGTCTCCTGTAATTGCAGGCAATCTTGTCATATCATCCCTTTGACAAGCTGATCAAGTCTCCGCTTAAAAGTATTTGGGATTTTTTTTTGTCCCATTACTCTTGGGCCCACTCTACACATTATAGGTATCACACAATTAATTGGTGTATTGCACAATTACCTTCAGACCAGCTGAATGTGCAAAGTAGCTATCACACCATAAACAGCTCCAACAAATGATAAAGTTAGACCTTGAAAATGTGTACTAACTTTAGAGCTGGTTGCTGTTGAGCTTTAATTTGCATGTGTAGCAGGGTCTCCCTTCAGCTAGGGTGCACTATGCTCAGCAGGGGCCAAGAGTCCTGCAACTGGGGATTTTCAGCTGCAGCAGCTGTGGACTCTGGGTCCCAGCTGCAGCTCTCAGCTGTGGATGGGTCCCTGCAGCATGCCTCCCAGTGCTGGGATCCTCCCAGCAGCCATTGGTTGAAGTTGCAATCTCCCAGCCCCAGGGATTTCAGCACCCACAGGGTTGGAAGATCACACCAGCTTTGTCTCCTAGCTGTAGGGGTGCATGGGGTGCCCCCATGACTGGAAGCCCTTTCAGCTGAGAGGGCTCTCAGCTTCAGGAGTTTGCTTCTTGCCAGTGTAGGGGGAGCCCCTGCACCAGCAATAAGACTCAGTGGGATCTAATGCATGATCCCACAATTGCACTTCCTGCCATGTATGCACATTCATGTGGATTGCACATTAGATGGCACCTCTTCGTGAACGTATAGAGGGGGCCTTATTTAAAACTTATTGCAGAGCTCACCACTCTGATAGTTAGATACATTCTTTTAATTTCCAGCCTAATTTTATTTAAAGGTCAGTTTATGCCCTCTAACTTTTGCCAACGTTAAGAACTTGGACAGCCCTCCCCTTTCCCTGGTGTTTAAATCCTAGCTAAATTTAAGCAGCAATCGTATTTCTGGGGTACATGCCAATAAACTCTTTCAGATCACAACATCAATATTAGTTATATTTTAAAAGATAGCACATGCGGAACAGATGCATATGCCTCACTGCAGCAGTACAAAGTGGTATAGCTATATCCCCTGATATTCTTTTTATGAATAGTGGACAAGGACCAAAAGTGGGCTATTAACTCAAATGCCATCTAACCATCTCACACTTAAATGCGTCTTCTGTTAATGCTTGAACAATATGTTATAAAGTGTTTATATAGCACAGGGGCGGGCAATTATTTTGGGCAGAGGGCCACTTACCCAGTTTTGGCAGGCTGTCTAGGGCCGCATGGGTAGCCCCGCCTCTTGACAGGTGCCCCACCCCTTGGTCACCATCTTGGGCCAATGTCTTGGGACCAATGTCCCAGGGCCAGCATCAGTGGGGCCGAGTGGGGCGCAGGCTGGCAGGGGTCTTTGGAACCAGGTAAGGCCCCTGCTTGCTGGGACCCTGCACTCCTGCTACCCTGCTCTGGGCCTCACCGGCACTGGTCCCAGGACACTGGTGCAGGCCCTGTGCTCCCACTGGCTCCCCAACCGGTCACACCCAGTGCCCCCCAGCCCCGTGGTACAGGCGGGGGGCAGCACACAACCCCGACCCTGCTTGCTGGCAGGGAGGAAGCTGGTGCTGAGTACGGGGAAAAGCAGCCCCTCGCCCACCCCATGGCTGACGCTCCCTGCTGTAGGTGCTTGCAGCCCATGCGGCGCTCACTGGAGCAGGCACAGGCAGCCTCATGTGGGCTGCAGCGCAGGGCACTGGCCATGGGGCGGGTGAGGGGCCGCTTTTCCCTGCACTCAGCACCAGCTTGTACCCCGCCCCACTTGCAGCCTGGCAGTGGGGCTGGGTTACAAGCTGGTGCTGAGCGTGGGGGGCGGAGAAAGCAGCCCCTCACCTGCCCCATGCCCGGTGCCCCATGCTGCAGCTGCTCGCAGCCGGCCTGGGGCTGCTTGTGCCTGCTCCAGACAGCCCCGCGTGGGTTGCGAGCGCCTGCAGCGCAGGGTGCCGGCCATGGGGTGGGTGAGGAGTCGCTTTTTCCATGCAGGAAAGGAGCCCAGGGAAAAGCTGAGCTCAGGGGGGAAGTATCCCCTCCCATGCCCGGTGCCCCACACTGCAGGCGCTCGCAGCCCGCATGGGGCTGTCCAGAGCGGGCACAGGCAACCCCATGTGGGCTGCAAGCATCTGCAGGGTGGGGCACCGGGCAC